ACAATATTAAAATACTTGGCCAAAAAGATAAACGATGCATACAAATGGGAAGTTTTGATGATATATTTAACGACATTAAGCCGACATAAAGTGGGTGCAGAGAACGAAATCAATATTAACACGGATTTATATTGGAATTCGGAAAACTTCTGAATAAACTGAATCAATTTTCAGCTTGAAACTCAGTCAATTCCGGCGAAGAGATGAGCCATTCGTTGAAAATTCGGTTATTTCAGTTTGAAAACAATCAAATCAACTTAAGAACTTTATCGAATGAATGTTGCAAAGACAAATGGGCGAGCATAAGCCTGTCCGATTACATTTTTAACTATATATCTTCATCTCCTCCACTTCACTGTTTACTGTACCGCAACATGGCGATCAATAGACAAGAACCAGTGAATGAAGTGGAACGCAAGCAAACAGATCAAGTCCACTTTTGGCGAATGCACAGTACATGTAGTTATCATTTAATTATAACTTTTGTTGAAATATGCTTTTCTTTGTTTGCCAGATGACCCAGATCTGTCGGAATACAAAATGTTAAGAGTCACTGAACGTCAGAAATATAACACAAAACCGCCTTTCAACCGAATCCCCCTTTTTGCCATTTGCAAGCACGATACACAATTAGATCCACAACATGTAATATTAAGTGAAAGTTACAGACAATCCCATTTATGCCAGAATGCTCCTTCAATGGATTTCAACTTTCGAAAAAAAATGGGCCACGGTTTGACGCTTCAGTGTGCAACATTTTAATGCAGACACTCCGTTGATGGTGGCGATGGCGGTGGCGGGTGTTCAAGCGAAAACAATAGAAAAAACATTACGAAAATTGTGTCTAAATGACTTCACGCATAATGTCGCCTTCGCTTTCGATGTGCAATAAATCACAGGGCTTTTTATGTGACAAATCTATTATCACATAAAAAGAAATTCCAGAATAAAAGCACAAAGCGTAAAAGGCCAAATGTTTGATAAGAAATAAAATAAGGCAAAGGATGTTCCAAGAAATGCTCACCGAATAAAAGCTTATTGTTTTGCCAAATTTCCGGCTAACCAATAAATCAGACGTTGTTTTTCTTCTTTATCTACCATGATTTCCATGAAAGTATCCTGTTTCATGACCAATTTATAGGATGCACATGAAAAACACCAAAACATCCGAACTATCTTATGTCTTACACGTTTGAATTCGTTCCTTTGATGCTATTTTCACCGAACCTAAAGTCCACTGAATACACAATTGATGAAATACACAAATACAAATCCCCGGATGAGTTTTCATTCAATGAAAATAATAGACGCGTTGGACAAAATGAAAAGCAGCAAAATAGAACTCTCATTGAAAATTGGAATGCATGCTTCATTCACACGATAAATACTTGATACTGTTATTGCACAGCACTTCATTTCCATTAAGCACTGTGAAAGGATGTATTTCATTTCGTTTTGTTTATTTTGTCATATTCGAGCTGGATGTCGAACGTTGCCGTCGTTTTTTATTCACAATTTCTTTTCATTTGGTCAGCAATTTGTCGAAATGCTATTATGCTTTAATGATGATGACTTTTACGCATGCTGCTCATGAATTCTCAATCAATGCACTTTCGCACGAGAAAACAACACCTCCCGAGTAAATTGACCAATCTTGCAACCGGAATTGATTAGATTTTGAATGGAGCTAAATTTTTCAACAAAATCCCAGCCAAAACAGAGATAGAGAAAATCGAGTTCGTGACCCTTCACCGCAAGGGTTTCAACATAATATAAATTGTTTTTCATACCCACATTCAAATGAGTGTTCCTCATTTATTCCGAATTTGCTGACCGAATAGGATTTGTGGAATTATTCAAATGAACTGTGACAGTGGCAACCATGATGGCAACGATGCATAGAACCATTCATGAATTTTTTCTACCCTTTTGCCTGATTGTATTGTTAGTATTCAAGACGAATTCGACCATTCGTAATATTGATATGCATTCCATTCAGCCACCGGGCATTCCACTCAAATCGTCTAATATTGCACAGATATCTTCTCACACATAAATTGAATGAAGTGAAATGATCATTTTTTTCGACTTTGCGTGGGTTTGTTTCTCAATTCGTGTGTGTGATAAATATCAAACCTTTCCAATGCCACAAAATAGTTGACTTGGTGGAGCGAAATGGAACATTTTTTGTAGGCATTGCACAAAAAAAGAGACATAATCAATGGATGCACTCAAGCTGTCACTTTCGAGCATTCAACTGTAAATCAAGATTTGAACTTTATGAATTTATTTGTCATTTTGGCCCCAAAGGAAAAAAAAAACATTGTTTTCATGTTTCGCAATAGCGCGCAATTTATCTCAACAAAAGATTATTATTTTTCATTAGAGAAAGTGATGGTATTTACTGCGGTGGTGTCATCAAATATCGGACCATTGAATGATAGAAAAGGCAAAACAACAATGGAGAAAGCGCACGCAACAAATGGAAGAAATTTGCAATAAAGTGCAATCTTTGTCATTTTTCTGCTTTATTTTGATTGAAAAAAAAATTCTCAAATAAAATAAACCAAGAGAAAGTATTTGCGGTGACACAAACAAATGTCCACTATCAATAGTGGCGCGATTCAATAAAGAGCTAAAAAGACTTTTGTTAAATACGCATAAAAATGAAAAACGTGCAGCCATTTCTCGTTCTGTGTTGATGACAGCAACAAGAAAAAAGAATGGTGCTGAACAAAGTGAACTCACGCGATATAATGTTCAGTTGCATTACATGCATATAACGCTTACCCAAGCCAAAGGTCTAGACCAACATGGTTCCTTCTGAAATATTTACAAAGAGTTTTCATTCAACACACAACACTCGTGTATGGACTGAGAAAGCTGTGCGCTCGTACTCACATGCTCAGACGTACGTTGTCAACCATTGTGTGTGTATGCGTTGTATCTCTGAAATATCCATTTCATTTTCCGTTTTTCTTTCATTTCTTTTGTTACCAATTTGCAATGAAATGTCTATTATTAGCCGGGCTCAGTTATTTTCAATTGATTCGCATGATATGATAAAATAATATCCCGTTCATTTATTATTCAAAGAATTTTCAACATTTAACAAAGGTGCATACACAATTATTTTGCATACAATGTTCAGCACAATGTCGAAGTTGAAGGTCGTAATATTGGTCGTCGTCATCATCATCATCCAAATCATATTATAAATTCCCAAACGATTTAACAAAAAACAAAACAAAAAAACGCATCACATACCATAAAGTGCTTTAAGTGATTATTAACCACAAAATGATGCAAATTCATCGTTCATAAACAGCAGTACGTTTGGTGCATGTAAATGATAAGAGAAAAAAAAATTAAATATAAAAGTGCAATGGACTGAAAGCGATTTTGGTTTTTGTTGGCGCTTTACTTGTGCGAAAATAATCATTAACTCATGTTATACTTTTGATTTTCCGCACACACCTAGTGTGTAAGGTAAAGTATTGGAATCGGTCGAAAAATGAACACCCTCAAAAAACATGTTTTCTGGGTTTTTTAGGACCCAGGGAACACGAATCTAGCGTTTTCCCGATGTCCGGATGTATGTGCGTGGTACCCTGTACGCTGTACGCTGTACGCTGTACGCAAAAATTTGTTAACACGATAACTTTCAAACCAGAAAAGTAATTCAAAATCTGACTTCACAGGATGATTGGGGGTGCCGAGGAATAGAAACCATTAGATTTTGAGCGACTTTGGTTGATAGAGTAACGTGTCATGTCTGGTGTGATGCCCATGGCCATCCATGGGAAAAATTCAATTTTCCCCCCAAAAGTGATATTTAATGTATTCTTAAACATCCAAAAATATGTATTGGGGGGTTTTTGGGTACGAGAAAACCGAATATGACATAAGTTTTGCGATACAAATATATTTCGACACACCTTTCATACAAATATTTCAAAAAAATTGGATTTTTGTATGGAAGCCATGCCTGTATGATATCGTAATGACCTGAAACTTTGCGCAGGTTATTTTTATCACACAAAAATAATATTCTGAGAGTTTGAAGACATTTCAATACATATTAGGGGTACCTTCCGAACAAAATTTTGGATTTTTCACCCAAAAACGAAAATTTTGTATGGGAAGTACCCCTAAATTGTATTGAAATATTTTCAAACTTCCAGAATGTTGGCTTTTTGTGAAAAAATACCCTGTGTCAAGTTTCACGTCGTCATGCAAGGATTGATCCCATTCCAAAATTCCCATTTTAAGTAATTTTTATATAAAAAGTGTGTCAAAAATTATGTGTATCGCAAAACTAATGTCAGATTCAGTTTTTCGTGAGTTCAAACTCAAGTAAAAGATAAGTTATAAATGAATTTTGTGGATCACAGTGCGGAAAAGTTCATCTTACGTATGTAAGACATTTTATTTTCAGTTGATACAGAAGGCTTTGAAGACGTGATCTAAATCGAAATGTGAATGCTTTTCTATTCACAAAAGAAATAATCTGTAGACTAACAGAAAACGAGACTATTTTATTTGTTTTGAAAGCAATTTTTGGATTCTTTCACTAATTTTGAGCTCTCTCTGTGTTACGTGTTCTGGCACAGCAAAATCACAGACGACATTCATTCAATCTATTTGACTTGTACAAAGTTTTATATAATTTATTTGTTCCATTTGAATTGTATTTGAAACACATTTTCGGGGAAAAACAACCTATATCGAGAGAAATTGAGAGAAGAAATTTACGCATTTTCAAAATAGTCTTAAAAAGATTCTTTTCATTGTCGATATATGCCGACGATATACATATAATTGCAATTATATAGAAAAATAATGGTTTGTTGAATGTGTAAATTTTTTATTTTTCGTCTTTCTTTTCATTCCATTTAAAATTCTAATCCAAGATAAATAAATAGTAGATATAAAAAAAACATTCCTCGAAAATCGCTTAATATGTAGAAAATAAATATTTCATATGTATATGAGGTGTGCTTTGTTAAAGCATATATAAATATATATAATCGTCATTTACTTGATTCAATTGGCTCCTTGACTTTGTTAAAGCTACATTTAGCTTTATGGATTCAAATTTCGCAAAAATATTTCTATATATACACTTCTTACATGACTAAATGACTAGGCGTTTAACGTGTTTTTTTTTCGTAGAAAAATATATAAATATACGGAGATTATGTTTCCATAGTAAAATAAATGTTTCGTTGTATAAAATCTCAATAAATATGTTCACTTGACTTATTTGTTGTGCGTTTCGTTTAAAATAGAATATTTCTATATAAAAAATAGAGATCATATGTAATTTCAAAAAAAAAAAAAAATCTTCACCAGAATGCACTGTTTTAAAATTAATAGGCCATTTCTTGGCCCCACGGTCTGTATGGTTTGTTATTTGCATTATATGATAGTGGATCATCGTGTTCGTTTGTTGTGTGAGCACCAAACCCAGCCATTGGATTATATTGATTGCTATAGCCAATGCTAACGACAGCATTTCGTTGTGATGACGATAATTCGGTGTATGTGGAGCCGTTTTGATCTTGATGTTGAACATACTGTTGTTGCTGTTGCTGCTGTTGTTGTTGCTGTTGTTGATGCGATTGCATTTGCGAAAGCGATTCATTCGATGTGATGGCACCAGCTGTGCTTGTTGGAGTGTTTGGTTCGGCAAAAATATCGCTTGATCCGGTCGGCGCCAAATTTGGAACGTATGGATAATTAATGTGGGGCGATGACGCATAACTGCTTGAATACATTGCTGTTGCTGGACTGGATGGCACCGATGATGGCAAAATCGACGATGTAACCGTTGATGTTGTAGGTGTTTGTAACGATCGTGGAGTTAAAAGTGGTGGCGGCGGTGGTGGTGCCAATGCACTGTTGTAGCTATTTTGTGTCAATGGATATGTTGGCGGAGCTGGCGTCCAATTTTGATTGACAGCTGGTGTCGCTGATTTTATTGATAGCTCACGTTGGGCAGCAAAGCATCGAAGATGTGACAACAGACGCATTCGCAATGGATTTTGAATATCCATGCCTTCGTGAGCAATGAGATATCGCGCGACCTCAGACACACATTCTTGAAAACCAATCACATGATAATCCATTGCATATCGTTGCGGATCAAATGTCATTGAATCGATTCCTATAAATAAATCAAATTTACATTTTAGACGTCTGAGTTTTTTGTTTTGCCTTCTTGATTTAAATTTAACTTTATTCGTTTCTTTTCAGTTTCATTTTTTTGTTTTTCGAACGTCTCTTACCTTTTGCGTTTAGATTTTTGAGATGATCTACCGTTAATTGAAGAATTTCTGCTTTTTCAAGTTTGGAACTTCCTTGTTTCTCATAGGCCGATGGAACGAGACGTTTTAGTTCGGACAACGATGAATTAATTCGATCACGTCGCTTTTTCTCAATTACACCACGTCGCTTTTTACGAGTCAATTGTTGACAACTGTCCGCACCTTTTGGTGATGTGCTGCAAATGAAAATCAATTATTTAGATTAAAATTGTTTTTTTTTTTTCATTATTTAATGGAAAGAAACCGAGAAAATTTCGAATAAAAAATCAAGCCAAACTCAAAATTTTATTATTTGAAGAAAACAAACATAAATTCGATTTGAATGATCTACTTACTCTTTGGATGATGTTTCTGAGTAGTTATCGTCGCAATCACTTTCGGAGATTGATCGTTTAGTGGCACGACTTGGGGGCGGAACCCAAGTATTATGCATTGCATGCGATGTCGACGAATAGCCCCAGTGCAATGGCGCATTATTATATATACGATGGTGTTCCATTTTTGTCGTTTAATTCAATTTCCGTTCGTTAATTGGAGATATAGTTGGTCTACTACTATCTTTGATTTTCACACTTCGTCACCAAAAAATCACCAAAGTTTTTTAATTTATCACAAGAATTCTGTTTAAATGCGTCTTCACTTCTTCAATTTCGTTGGTTGATTTTTGCTATTTGTAACGGAAGAAAAACAAATCAATTTTGTTCACTTTTGTACGAACTTTGGAAAATTTGATGAAATCAAATCACAAATTTGGAAAATTGAAAAAAATTTCTAAGTCTTTTTTTGTTGCGGCAAGAACGGAGTGCACACAAAAATGTGTGTTACGAGTACAAATGCTGAAAAGGAACTGATACACGTGTGTGAACGACGTTCGGCTGCAATAGTGAGTATGCCAAACGCATGCAGTGCGTGACGTCATCCCTACCACTGTCCTCAACACCATTTAAAAACTATCGAAATCATATCGCCCGATCAAAAGAACACACACACGCACACTACAACACAGACAAACATACACTGCATACGAACAAACCAATACAACTAACACTCGTCTGCTATTTGTTCATATTAATTGTTTAATGTTTACGCGATGCATGAATGCCGTACAAAGGCGCTATGAATGCATATAGCACTAAGGAAGTGCCATTCAGTTGTGATCTTCGTCAAATCTATAGACGACAATTTCATTAGATTTTTTGTGGTATTTTTACATCGATATCGCTGCATGTAGTTTGTTTATTGCTTGAATGTATGTTTTTGCTATTGTTCGAGTCACGTGTATTATTTTGTGTCACAGCAAGATTTTTTACTCGAATTAAAAAAAAAATAATTTTGATTAAAATTGTGGCTGAAATTGAATGAGTCCAACTGATATTCTTTTTTGATTCAATTTAAATTTTTCGAATTGCAGATATTTTTGAACATTTTATTGAAATCGAGCAGACAATTTTATTTTACCTTGACCCGGAGTTGACTACCCATTACCACTTAATGATGATCTCTGTCGTCGGCGACAGCTCACTTTTCTACAAGTATCTTGAGAATGTTATAAATACAATAAATTTTCCTTGAATGGGAATATTTTCCCATTAAGAATGACAAAATAGAATTTTTGTGAAACTTATCCTCAATTAAATACAATTTTCCTTGAAATATCTACTCGTTTTATTGCAGTGTAAATCGAAGATAGAATTATTAAATAATTGCAAGGAAAATAATCCATTTAAAAATCATCAGTATGAGTAAAGTGGATAAAAAAAATCGTTGCCGTTTTTCAGTTGCTGCTTTTCAGAATCTCTTGCAGAAATCTACGATTTGTACCGATTTATTCTTTTCCGAGATAAATTAATAAAAATATACTTTTGTTATATTAATTTCGAATGAGCATTGGATCAATTGACGTCGTTCTCGTATCAAGTTACACAATTATCGATAATTATCGGCTGATCAAGGAAATAGCATCAAGTGAATTCTTAACAATTTTCCGCAATGCGCATGTTAACATGAAGGTTTGCTGCTGTTCCTACACAGTTATCATAATCTCGTCAAGAGCGAACGTCTGCAGACATTGTAATAAAAATTAAAATAGATGCGACAACAACAAATTGAAAGAAAACGTCCATCAAACATAAAAGAAGCAACGAAAAAAAACTTGATGGAAAACGTAAAGAATATCATATTCATTCGATGAAATAAGTATTTATTTATTTCGCACGCGCCGATTCAACAATAACAAATATTATTTTATCAAATGATCGAATGGCACACGGAGAGCTACTTTCTCACTGTCACCGTCTAAGTGTTCACAGGAATATTCGTGGGAAAATCATGACAATTGCATATAGGAGGGTAAAAGTATGAGCCACAACTTTTACCAAGTCACATTGGCTCTCACCAATATACGAAATACACACCCATTACTCATGGTAATGTCAATATGTATTGAGAAGCGAAATTGGTTTTTTTGCAAGAGAGAAAGAAACGGACGAATGTTTAATTACCTAAAATCGCGTTAAAATCGACGAATGAATAGTTTTACAGCACCCGAATAAACCGGGCATATTTCAACAGAGACTAAACTAAATACAAAAATACTACTCCGCATTTCATATACTTCATAGTTCAAATCATATGTTTAACAATTAAAATAGACACTGCGCCGACAATTTGATCGAACACATTAAATACCCTTCGTAATCGTAAGCATATTGACTTGTAAACAAAACATACATTCACCATGCAGTAAAACTAGGGGCGCACCGACGATACCGTTCTATTCGTGGGAACGAATTTTTGCCGTTGTTCACATACACACGAATGCCACGCGTATTTTTTGAGTAGGGTGAGTTAGCTCCTCGCCTAGCTCTTCGCTACGTACAGTACATTCAATGTAGTTTTGTAAGTTGCAGTTCACTTCAAAGTCGTAACTCAGCCTTGACTGTACACATAAACATTCGAAGAGTGTTCATTGTCAGAAAGAGAAAGAGGGAGAGAGAGAGATAAAGAGAGAGAAAAGAGCAAGCAAAATGAATCTGAACGTTGCAAAGAGTGGCAAAGAGGCAGAACCAATTCATTGCGTTTCCCTTTCGATTTATATTTTTTTCACTTTTATATCGAAGCGCTTTTGTTAATTGATGTTATTCGTACTACGTCTATACAACAACTATATACCACTTTTCAACCCCGCTCAATTGCTCGCGCTCACCCATTCTCACAATGATTTTTTGAAATCACCAACTTTTCTATGCACTTTGTTTGGTGAATGAAGTGATTATCATATTATTAATAAAAAAAGATAATAATAATGAACCGGTTGAATAAAAAGTGTGGGATTTGCAAAATCAACTTGACATGAATAACATTTTTATTTATTTATTTTTTGTTTCTCTTGTGAAAACGCATTGGAATCCATGGGAAACGTATTTTGTTTGAGAATATTTGAAAATTGGAAATTAGTGCAAAATTCAAGACAAAATTTCATTTCTTTTTTTGAGTGAAGTTTACGTTTCATTTGTTGAAAAATAAATCGTGTTTCTTTGTAAAGAAGTGATGAACAAAAAACAACAACAAGACTTACCACCAGTGAATCTTTCTTAACAATCCAAAATATTGAAAAAATAAAAATAAAAACACGATTACTGAAATAGTAAAAATGAACCACTTATGAAATACCAAGTAATATATTCTGTGTAAGCTGATATATTCTCAAATCGTCAGGTTTTTCTCTCCTTTTTTGCGTCATTTTATAAAAATTGGTGTCGTCATAAATAAATGACATAAATGAATATAAATGTGTACATTGTGGCAAAGGCTAAGTGAATCAGTGCGTTTGTATGTGTGTATGAATGTGTACGTGTGAATGGTAAACATAATAACTGTGTGTGGGAACTAGTTTCAGTATTAACCGCAAAATAATAAGAGGGTCTTTTAACTGCGTTTAAATGCATTGCCGCTGCTGATCCGTATTTAATCTATTTAGAGCGCTTGAACGGGAACAATGTTTTTTTTTTGTTGTTTTGATGTGAGAACGATTTTTTTTCTATTTCGGGTGGGAATATATTAAGTAAGTATATATTGGTGTCAATTTCGATTCAACTTTGATTTTATTTACTAAAACAGTAGAAAATTTAACAATAATCCAGTCATTTTCAAAAATTTTCACCTTTTTTTAGAATTTTATCAAATCATTGGCAAGCAAACGAAGAGCGTGTGGGAATGCATGATGTTCAGCTTTGTGAATGCGTTCGGTGAGCGCATCAAGCGTATCATTATCAAAAATCGGTACAATTTCTTGCCAAATAATTTTGCCAGTATCGACGCCTTCGTCAACAAAATGAATGGTGCAGCCGCTAACTGTGTCACGTGGATTATCTTCGATTGCTTGTTTCGGTCCATCCAAACCTGGATATTTGGGCAAAAGTGATGGATGAATATTGATTAATCGTCCTTTCCAATGGCGAACAAATTCTTCCGATAAAATTCGCATAAATCCAGCCAAACAAATGATATCGACTCTATGCTTTTCCAATTCCGACGTCAACGCACGGTCAAATTCTACTCTCGGTTGAGCGCACGAACGATAGCTCAAATGCGAAATCGTTTTATTTGGAATGTTTGCATTTTCGGCGCGTTTCAAACCAAATGCTTCGGATTTATTTGAAATAACCAAAACAATTTCAGCATTGATTCCAAAGTTTGTGTTACGTGTGGCATCGATAAGTGCTTGTAAATTGCTTCCGTTACCCGATATCAAAACGCCAACACGTTTTTTGGGTTTCAACAGAATGTCTTTCGTTCGTTGTAAAGTTTTCGTGAATTTGTGGTCGTCAATCACAACATGCTCTTCGTTGGTTTTACGTTGTTTTACAACGCCAACAATTTTAGCATTTAGGTTGAATTTCAAACGAGATTCAAGTTCAAGTGCATGCTGTTTACTAACAACCAAAATGAGTCCTATACCACAATTGAATGTGCGTTGAAGTTCTGTATTTTCGATGTTACCTTCTCCACTGAGCCAAGCAAAAATCGGCGGAATAAACATTTTATCCGCATCAAGATGAACAGCCAAATGTTTGGGCAACACTCGGGGGATATTTTCAAGCAAGCCACCACCCGTAATATGAGCAATTGATTTTATTTTACCTTCGAGTAACAATGGTACAATTGGAGCAACGTATATTTTGGTCGGCGCTAAGAATTCTTCGCCAAATGTTCGATTACAATTACTGAACGGGGCTACATCGTTATATGTTGCATTCGCTTTGGCCAATACTTTATGCACTAAACTGAAACCATTACTATGCACACCACTCGATGGCAGAGCGATTATACAATCACCGTCGGCAATTTCATCGACTCGTGGCAATAATTTTCCATTTTCAACTACTCCCATTGCAAAACCAGCCAAATCATATTCATCTGTGGTTGTGTATATTTGTGGTATTTCAATTGGATCACCGCCGACCAAAGCACATTCACCAAGCACACATCCATCGGCAATGCCTTTTACAATATCTAACGATTTCAGATCATTGAATCGATCGCATGCGTAGTAATCGAGAAAAGTAAGCGGTTTTGCTCCATTGCATAAAATATCGTTTACACTCATAGCAACCAAATCAACACCAACTGTATCATGTTTACCAATAGTTTGAGCAATTTTTAATTTTGTTCCGACACCATCAGCTCCGATTACCAGAATGGGATCATTGTACATTTTTTTACCGTTCGGGTTGAGGCGTACAAACTTCGAACCAAAATGCTCATAAACATGGTCGGTATTTGTACCACTCAAAAGTTTTTCGACGCCTGTTTTCAGTTGGGCATTTGAGTTTGTTGTCAATTTCAAATTGCATGCTTGCTTCGAATCATTGAATTTTGACGATAGTTTTGTTAGAGTCTCTGATAAACCCAAGAAATTTATACGTTTACTAGCCGAGACAGAAGGAGAAGATGAAGTTACTTTGCCTGCAATTGAAATGTTTTTTTTAATTATTATTATTAGAGAGAAAATGATTCAAATTTAAAATATAACCCATTGATATACAAACCGATTTCAACAGCTCCATCAATAGATTTCCATGCCGAACATTCCTTTGAAACGACGGCAACCAAACCGATGCCTAAATTGAATTTATTTGCAAACATATGTGGTGTGATGTTACTTGCTTTCGCATGAATCCACCCGAAAACCGATGGAACATCCAATGATGATACATTTATGTCAGTGGCATATTGAGTTGATAAAATGGCTTCAATGCTTCCTTGTAGACCGGTGTCCGTAACATAAGCAGCCGATTTGATGTTTCCACTTGTAATCAATGGTAAAATTTGTTGCACATACACACGAGATGGTTTTAAAAATTCTTCAGCTGCAATAGAAATAAATTCATATCGATTCAATTTCAAAAAATATCCGAATTTGAAATGGTCAAGAAATCAATTTTACCGTATGTTCTATTTTCGCTTGAAAATGGTGCGGCTGTAAAGTAATCAATATGCAGTGCCTTCATAATGTCATAGACAACATCGATACCGCTGCAATGTAGGCCATTTGCTTTGAATCCAACGATGGAATCTCCTTCGTTGATTAAATCGTAACGCGGTAATTCTTTGCCATATTCAACGCATCCAATCGAATATCCCACTAAATCGTATGTACCAATTTTGAATAGAGATGGCATTTCAGCGGTTTCACCGCCCAAAAGTGAACAATTTGCTGCTTTGCATGCTTCAGATACACCTTTCACCATGTTCGCAACGACTGGAACAAATAATTTGCCGCACGCGACATAATCGAGAAAAGCAAACGGCTGTGCGCCCGTCGACACCACTTGATTGACACACGTTGCCACCAAATCATAACCTATGGTATTGAAAATGCTACAGTCAATGGCCATTGCCATTTTGGCACCGACTCCCGAAGTACGTTCAACAAGTACTGGATCTTTATATGCCAATGGTTCGCTATTCAACACGGGATATTGCAATTCATTTACACGAAACAAACCACCGAATCCTCCAATGCCACCAACAACACCTTTGCGCAGTGTTTCACGTGACATTGGCTTGATTAACTGTACCAAATTGTCACCAGCAACAATGTCGACGCCACTGTCTTTGTATGACAATGCACCTCTATTCGAAAATACATGCGAAAAAAAGAAATAATTTTAGTTTTTTTTTTTGGTTTCATCTTTTTATTTGAATTTTCTTCTTATAAATGTGGCAGAACATGTATGATTTGTTTTAATTGATGTCATGAAATTATTACTGAATCGATACAATGATTATTGGTAATTTTCACTCACTTTTTAAATGCTTTGTGAGCGATATCCGAACGAAATTGACGTCCAGTGAATTGGATCTCTTGAACGCCTTTTGTTGCTTCAGCTGCAGCATTGTACAAATTATCTTCAATGGCCACATTGATTAAAACGCGTCCGCCTTTTGTTATATATTGGCCGGTGCCATCGTTTGTTGTTCCACTGTGGAAAACAATACGATTTTCAGTGTCCGTTTTCGGTAGACCTGTGTACATGAAATAATACATAAAATAAAAGGTCAACATTGAACAGAGATACAAAAACACAATAAAATATTTCATTCATAAAATTCATACCGAGAATTTTACGTCCATTGATTGGAGCATCTGGATATCCTTCGCTCGCCATAACAACACCAACAGCTGATTTACCAGTTTTCCACTTCAAATCGATGCGGTTCAATTGACCATTGCAACAAGCTTCGACGACATCGTACAGATCCGTTTCGAGTAGCGGTAAAATGACTTGAGTTTCTGGATCACCGAATCGACAATTGAATTCAAGTGTTCGTGGTCCATTTTCGGTTAACATGAGACCAGCATATAAAACGCCACAATATTTGATGCCACGTTTCTTGAACTCGGTCAATGCCCTTTCGATGATTTCTTGTCGGGCAAATTCAAGGTCAGCATCGTTGATTAATGGACATTTACAATAGGCTCCCATGCCACCGGTGTTGGGCCCATTATCACCATCACTCAATCGCTTGTGATCTTGAGCCGGCAACATCACTTTCACCGAATCACCATCAACAAACGCCAAAAGCTGATTGATTACATAAAAACAAGCAGTTATTTCTTCCTCTTCTTTCATTCACACATCAAAAGTACATTTCCCAAATCAAAAATCAATTTTATTATTTATGAAATAAATAAAACTTACCGAAACTTCTTCGCCGCTAAGTTTTTCTTCAACAACAATTTTACTACCAGCTGCACCATATTTCTTATCGCCCAAAATTTCGTCGACTGCATCACAAGCCTCTTCTTTAGTATTGGCAACAACAACTCCTTTTCCAGCTGCTAATCCACTGGCTTTGACGACAAGTGCCTCATATGAAGCGCTGACCATATACAATCAATCACGCAATGATAATAATAAAAATGAGTAAACAAATTCAGGCATCAACAACAAGATTATTTTTTTTTTCTTATTTCGGGAAACAAATAACATTTAATTCTATTTGTGAGAGACATTGCTGACATAATCCCGTATTTTTCATGGATTTTGTTTTGTTTGCTAGTACACAAAAAAAAAATCAATTGATAACCGCCAGTGATTGAATATTTACTGCTCAGCAGCGTTTTGCTGTTGAGTTTTCTGAATTCAGGGTGCTGAAAAACGCAAGCAATCGATGCGAACATTCGTAATGATTGAAGTAAACCGGTGCGAATGTATGTGTATATAATGAGGGATATTTATTACGTCTTATATTTCTACCTCAATGTATACGAAATGTAAAGTCGCACAGACATGCCCGCACATAACGAGTATACGCAACGATCGTCGTATTTGACAATGCGAATGAATGAGAGGCATGCATGCCGTCGTTTATATTCGTGTTGTAAGGAGCACGCTTGTGAGAGAATTTACATCAATACCATTAAATGCGTCGATTGTTTGCGTTTTCCAGCGGCCTGAAATCAGGAAACTCAAGAAAAAACTGCTCAAACGAATCAATCACTGATAACCTCACTAGTCTTTAGTAACAAATAGAATGATGTGCAAATGTTATTTTTTGATAAAATCAGTGCCGATATTCAAGTTAATTAAGTAAAAAAAATATTCATTTATAGAATGTTTTTATTATTTGAAATAATTTACCTCTTAATGAATGATTTGGCTGCATCGACATTGTCGAAGCTTTCGTAGCGTGCGGTTGGAATTTTGGCAGCAATCATGAATTCTTTTGACCATGATTTGTCCGATTCAATGCGTGCACCATCCGAATTGGGTCCGAAACATTTAATATTCGCTGTACACAGCGAATCACCGATGCCATCTGCCAATGGATCTTCTGGTCCAACAACAACCAAATTGATTCCGTGATCTTGGCAAAATTTAACAATTGCACCATGATCTTTGACCGAAATATCTTTCACTAGTTCAACTTTTGGCCGATTTCCAATGTGAAAACTGCCTGGCAACACGAACAATTTATCAATTTTATTACTTTGTGCGAGTTTCCAACAAATCGCATCCTCACGACCGCCGGATCCAATCACCAAAATCGATTTGCTTGTCATCTTTTCTTAATCTTTTTTTTTTTGTTTCTGCACAAAAAATTTATTTTATAACACAAAAGAGATTAATGAAAAATAATTATTCAATTACAATTAAAATATGTTAAAAGAACGGAATGAGAGCAAAAATTACGCACTACCGATCGAGAAAACAATATCAATCAGACTAAAGAAACTTTAAATCAAAAGCAAGTATTCCAAAGGCTCGTCAAACAAGAACACCATGTGAATAATTATAATACACAAATGTGAGCTCAGCATAAACGTCACATTCCAGCACTGTGTATGTTTTTCGGTTCACAATAACTCATATCAGTGTGTCAATGAAATTTGAAACATCATGAGAGTGAGTGTTTTGCTTGCAGTATAGGTCAAATACAAACAAAATGTATTTGTAGCGTTATCGTCGTTTCGTTTTAATGCTTGTTCTTATTTTGTTTCTCTGTCCACACACGTCAAGACCCCAGCGACGAAGAAAGAACACACCGAGATAAAGTTTATAATGGAATCTTTAATGTTTGTTTTGCATTCGCCACTTATGGAAACGTCCTATGTTATTTCGGCGCCGTAAACAGTGTGTTTCTCGATGGCATCAGTTTTCGGGGGACCTTTGCGCAATGACCAACAATGATGATGGAATTCTGCAAACCAGTTGTGAAGGCATGATACTTCCTATACCCTGAATGAATAATAAGTAATATTCTTGAGCAAAAATTTAATTTTTTTCGCGAAATTGCTTTTTTGACACCGTAGCCACACCATATAACTAAAATTCAACCTGTAAAGTGAAATGTTCATGAAAAATCCCCAAATTTAGGAATATGAGAATGGTTTACATCTGGCAGCATTAGTGCAGCTGCCAATTCCCGATACATAAAGAGCAACCTACGTAAACTACTTGTTTTCAATTCAGAGATAAAAATGCGATGTGAGAGGTTAATGTACACAAAGGTTATCAACGTATTTATTAAATTCGAGGGGGGAAAACACTTGAAAGTAATTTTTCGTAAAAAAATAATTGCAAAAGAATTTCAAAGTAATTGTAAGACAAAAAGTAATTACTAAATGTAATTTCTAGCCAAAAAAATGCAATTACTTACTTTTTACAATTACTTTTGCCTTACAATTACTTTGCAATTATTTTTGTACAATACGAAAATTACTTTTCAGTGATTTCGCCCTTGGTGAATTCGTTTCTATGGTATTTTAGTATTTTAACAAGATACTATAATGGAAAATATTTCAAAATTCGATTTTCGTCCGGGAATCCTTTCACATCGATTGATCTCCGTACGTGATAATAGTCACGATTTAGAACAATGTCAATAAATCCGCACGGATAAAATTGTGACATTTTATTCACCAGAATAAACAGCAAAATATACAATATATGTAATTTGATCACATCCTCATCGAATTATCCAGTTTATATTCACAACAGCAAAATGTATAACATCATGTTATGCAGCACTATTCACCGGCAAAACATACTATAAACACATGCCAAATATTTATCATTGAAAATACAGGTTTGTGACGAAGCTGCTGATTGTTTAGTAAAAACAACCGAATCAACACGTGTTTGTCATGAATCCACATACTATCAAAGGTTGCTGTAAGAGTTTGATTTGCATGAATGTGTGTGTTAGTGTGTATTATGTACAGTGATTTTGAATATATGGTTGTATGAATGGATTATGGTCATTGGCGCCATCTATGCAATCTCAAGAGAATTTTTCAATTCTTTATACGCATGCGAAGAACGATTTTCAGTTTAATTCGTTACGATATATGGATCTAATTGTTATCTTGAAATATATACATTAGATTTAACAATAAACTATGATTGTCAACCATAAGTATTTTAATGCCTTCAGTATATAAAATCGAAAATTCCCATTATAATCAGAGCATTTTGAATAAAATGTAAAGTACATATTTATGAAATGAATATTCAATATAGAAAAATGGTAACTGCTGATATTTTGTTCAGATTCCAGTGAGTTATCTTAATTGCAATAATAAATTTTTATGAAAATTTGTTGTGAATTGAACGAATTTAATGGACACTTTACATTCTCATCAAGAGAAGCGAATTTCAATACGATGAGTTTTTTAAACTTATGTAATGTGAACTTCACTACCCCGAATTCATTCCTCGAAAAGTTTGTTATGCATCATGTTATTAAGTTATTTCCACACTTTAAAATGAAAATCGTATACTTAATTTTTACCACAACTAATCTCTTTTTTTTCTTCATTTCACTCGATTTCACTTATATACATTGAATTTTTCTTTGAAAATCGTTTTGGTAGAGAGGTAAATAAAACTAAAGATCATGAATGTTTTATTTTTGAATTCATACTAAAAACTAATTAAAATTCGATGAGAGCCTTTAGAAAAATACAAGCGAATGATGAACATTGTATTTGGACCGAAATAAATGAAAATAAATTTGCTTTGTTTGATTTTCAATGAGGACAATGTCCTCTGGACATTATGTTTTTTCATGTTCGAAACGAAATCAATTGCCTCAAACGATAGCAATAAATAACATGTATAATTGTATACAATTAATTATATTTAATGTTTAAATTTTAACCCATGATCAGAAATATACGCATAGCTTCTGACCAAAAGTTTTCCAAGTTGCATTTTCACTAAGCAACGAATTCCGTATTTCACTTGGAGAAACTAAAGAATGCTTCTTGACATGAACTGATTCCATCTTGATACGAGAAAAACTCATTAAAAATCCTTTATGCTTCTACATGTGGACAGCATAGAAACGAAATGTGGGCGTATCGTTATTCACTTCTATTTCAATAAGCAATCACAATGCGATATCTAAGTGATACAAACGAAAAGAGCAATCAAAAGTGAATGCGAATAAAATCAAGAATAGTTGAGCCGTTGACAGCCAGAAAGTAAGCCGAATTTACGATTTTACCATTCGAAATTTTGCTTTTGTTTCGACAACACACAAATATCGCGATAAAAACAGGCGAATAGCTTCTATCTGTTCAAGACTTTTTGCTCACATTTTTTGGCACGTGAATGCGGGCCATTGGCAGCATCTAGATTCCGTTCAAACTGTGCATTTTCGTTTGTGTCGTAAATTTCCGTTGAAATGCCATTTCTGAATTTATTCGCCATTGTCAGTCCAAATAATTGTCGCTTTCATGATGCAACACAAAGAATTCGAACAATCACTTGATTGTGAACACAAAAGAAAACAATAAACGATGCTTTTTATTGAGATTGGCAGCATCTCAAAGCAAACTAACTGCGAATAGTTTTATTTGAGCATTTTAATTTCGAATTTCCATTCTTCGTTTCTTGTACAACATTTCTCGAAAACAAAAATTATTTATTGCATTCAGTCTGATTGAGGGGGGCTTCGTTTTTCTTGTCAAGGGAAATGATCCATTAATTTTAAATGAACATTGTTACCATACCAAATATTCGTTCTGATTTACGCAAAATAAGTTGTTTGCAAATCATGTAAAAGACTCTCTGTGCAATCTTTTGTTTTGTAAATTATTCAATTCAAAACATTCACGATGTTCACCATCACAATATAGCATTTTACAGTACAAACATCGAAATAGCGCTGCTTTCATTTCAAAAACGGAAATAATGTTGAACACAGCCCGTATTTTTAGTCCTAGTTATTTATTTGCAGTGAACAATAAAGGTTTATGGTAGCACCCCCTTTCACGCTCTTCGTAAGAAACACTTCCATACAAGCGTGGTAATTTATCAGGAAAGTCAGTTCAAGGTAACGTTGCACTTTATTATTTATGGTTTTTGAAATTATACCGTGCTTAAACAATGCGATGAAGCAGACAAAAGCGAATTCAAATGAAATCATATTATCGAGTGGTTTTCGTGACTCAATTCGATATTCTCTAGTCGGTCTGTGTCGGTGTGTGTGTGTGTGCATGTTGAGTTCATAGAGCTTGCAACGAATTGTGTAACAAAAATCCATCTAGGTCGTCGAATTGCTGACATTCAATGTTAACACAGTTTATAAGAATTCAAGCCATTTCATCCAATATCATTTTCAATCCTTGGAAATGATTTTGCCCTCTAAGCTATTTGCATTTTGTAATTTCACACTCGTATTATTTTGATTCGCACAACATTTGCGCGAAATAAAAGTATGTAAATACTAATCAAAATCATTTGTGACACGTGCGAAACAGTTATTGCTGCGACGTTTAAATATCTAATACCTTTTTCGTTCACCTAGAAATTTACTATTTTATTATGGAAATGAATTTACTCTAAAGTTTGATACGATTTTACAATAAATCACCACAATTCATAATTCTTATGAACAAAAAGGAATTCTAACATTGGATAAAATAACTCCTTACTAGGGCTGCTCATCAATATAACTAGAACAGTTCATGTTAGGTAAAATATTTAAAAAAAGTCAAGCTCAGATTGTTCGAAATAAAAAGTGTAAGGAGTGATTGGATTAGGTAACGGGGTTTTTTGAATGCCAGAATACTAACGAACAAACAAATGAAATAAATAACTGATAATAATTGATACTTTTTCCAGTAATTTCAAAGTAATAACGAAGCTTTAGGTTAAAACTTTTGTGTGGAAGAAAA